TAGCTGGAGGAGATGGCGGGGCGGCTCCAGACGCGACGCGACATGAGCTTGTACTCGAACACCAAGACGGTGAGTCTGCACCGTCTGCAGCTCAAGGGCATCGCGCAGACGACCAACACCCACCCGCGGCCGCACATGCACGTGGCCCTCGACATTGGCAAGCCCGGCAAGTCGATGGGCCAGTGCGTCATCTCGCTCTCCCAAGCGTACGCGCACCACGGGTCGAGCGTTCCGTTTGGTGCGACGCTGGCGGTCGGTGGTCGGCGCACGGGTGACATCACCGGCCTCGTCACACTCCGCATCCGCTAGCGCCACCTCGTTGTCTTACTGTGCTGTCATCTCTCGCGCGACCACGGTGCTCGCGGCGTCTCTTGTTATTTAAGAATCTTAGTCTTGCCACGTGGGTGTGGTCTTGGCGAGGAAGGCGCCGATGCCGTGGCGGGCGTCCTCGGCCATCATGTTGGTCCACATCACCTAGGAGCATGCGTGGAAAACGATACGAAGGCGCAGGGAAGCGTACCGACGAGGCGTACGCGTAGGCATCGCCCACGGGCATCTCGAGCTGCCGGTAGAAGGCGCGCTTCCCGAGGCGAAGTGCCGTTGGGCTCTTGGACGCGATCTGCTGTGCGAGAGCGCTCACGTGGGCGTCGAGCTCCTACGATCAAGGATCATGTCGACGCGGAGGAGGTCTATCTCGCACGTACCGCCTCGGGCACAACGTCGTTGAGGAGTCCCATGTGCACAGCGTCGTCGGCCGAGACAAGGTCGCCAGTAAGAAGCATGCGCATGGCCTGCTTCCGGCCGACGGCACGGCCGAGCGCGACGCCTGGCGTCGAGCAAAAGAGCCCAATGTTGACGCCTGCGCTGTGGCATCAAGCCGCGTGAAGAAGAGAAATCCCAATGTACCGGGCGTGCAAAACTGCGACTGGGGCGTCGCAAACGCGAGGTCGCACGTCGCGACGAGCTGGCACCCCGCTGCCGTCGCGACGCCGTTGACCTTGGCGATCACGGGCTGATGCAAGGTCAGGATCGACTGCATCATGCGACTGCACGCATCGAATGTCTCTTTGAGCTCACGCGCGCCGTCGGACGATGCGAGCACTTGGTCGTTGGAGGCGCAGGCCTCGCGCGCTGCGTGCATTTCCTTGAGGTTGTGCCCCGAGCAAAAGGCCGGGCCCTCCGCGCCGAGCACGACGACGCTAGGCACCGAGTGTCATGATGGGCACGCGAGGTTATGTTCTCTTGCGACGCACCGAACAGCGCGGTCCTCATGGATGCTACAGAGAGCGTCCTGGAGCTCGCGGATGAGGCCAAGCCCGAGCGCGTTGCGCGTCTTGGCGCTCGTGAGCGTGAGCTCGCACACGCCGTCGCGCACCACCTTGGACAGCATTCCGATTCTGAGTGCTGGAAGATCGGCGTCACATCCGGATACCATCAGCCAATCAAAAACACTTGAAGCTGGCAAGCATCAACTACACTCGCTCACGCCCACACCCGTCCTCCCAATGCGACGTGCGCCGTGCGGCCATATCGATGCGCCCGCGAGCTGCCGGGTCTGAGGCCATAAAGTCGCAAGAGTCGTGGTCTGTATCCTCCTACGCCAAATTATTAATTTTCGGCATATGCCGATTCGTACACTCTATCCGGATAGCACAGCTGGGCGGAAAGTATCCAAGAACCGACGACGACCTCATCCTCTGCACCCCACAGACGTGGCATCCTCGACAGGAAGCCGGACATCTCTAGCAACAAGCTATGGAGTTGAGCATGATAGCTATGTGCAAGGTGTATGTATTTCCTTGCTATCTGCAACGAGGACCTTTGCAAACTGTCGCTCGAATTCGAATAAAAGTGCGTCCAAGTTCGACATCCTGTGGCCGACCAATCCCGTGTCGAGCAGCCATTCACGCACGCGCCTGATTGGGCAATCTGCAGCTACAACCGCTCTCGATGGTCGACGCCTGCTGCTGTGACCGGACCGAGGCCGCGCAGAACGCGGGCCCAAGCTCGCACGACGGCGAGAGCTTGCGCCACGTCACGAGCGTCGAGTGTCTCTTCTGCCCGCACTACAGCGTCGCCACGCTCCTGGGTGGCATCGAGCGCCTCATCTCGCTCCACTCGTCCAACCCCATCGCCGACTACTGGAAGCGCCTCATCCTCAACCCAGCCGCGATTCGCCGCGTGTTTGATGGCATTGGCGTGCATCAAACGCTGCGGCAGGATGTCGACTATGGCATCTACCGCGACCAGTACGTGTGCTTCTTTGTCGCGACGCGGCTGTACCCAGCGTACCTGACGTGGCACACACCCGCGCCAGCAACGAAGGAAGAGTGCAGCCGGCGGCCGTCGAGCCCCGAGGCTTCAACCGAAAAGATCAATGGTCGGCTGCGCGAACGTGCAGCCTCTGCGCCCAACTGGTGGGATATCAACATCAAGCAAGGCCCATCGCCATCGACGTTCAAGTACCCGTGGACCGAGCTCTCGATCGACGAGTGGTCCCACGCG